CGTTACTCCCCATCCCACAGGGATGCCCCGCCTGGGATGCCCCCCCGCCGGCTTCCCCCGAGGCTTTCAAAGCCGCGGAGGGGCTCCGGCGGGCGGGCAGCCCATGCGCGCCTGGGATGCCCCCCCGCCGGCTTCCCCCGAGGCTTTCAAAGCCGCGGAGGGGCTCCGGTGGGGGGGAGCCCAGGCGCTCCTGGCGCTCCTGGCGGCTTTGCTCCCGGTGCCTCTGGTCTGCTGGGGACCAGCTCCAGCAGACCAGGGACACCGGGAGCAAAGGAGGCGGAGGGGCGCTGGGGTATAAGATGAAACCCTATCTTTTAATTAAAAAGATAGGGGGTCGTCTTATACGCCCAGTCGCCCTATACGCCGGAAAATACGGTATTTGAATATTTCATTCAAAAACATAGATTAAATAAAACTAAGGTTTAGTACATCACTTATAAGAGTCACTATTAGGAGGACATATTTGGCCCCAATTTAGAGATTTATAAAACAAGGTAAGAAAAAATTCTGATATATTTTTAATTCAAATGGCAAATTTTAAAGCAAGCATCCTTCTGCAGTTTGCCTATATCCTGCAGCATTGTGCAGCTATATGAAAACTTGAAAGTAAAATAGACTAGAAACTTTGGAGAAGTAAAAGTGGAATATAATAGTTCATTTTCATTGCCTTATGTAAAAAAACCCATAAATAGTGAAAAAGTAAAAGTTAAAGGTTTTAAAACTTTCAGGTTTTAAATCTAATTTTAGTATTAGGTTTTCAGCCAGTACCTTTGTAAAATTATAATTTGACAATTTTATCTAATTGTATTTAATGCATAATACTTATATAATTGCAGCATTGCTAATCTGTTGTTTATGGTACTATTTTAATATACGTACTTATCTCTTAAACCAGGGGTGGGGAACCTAAGGCTTAGGAACCAGATGTGGCCTCTGGCTTGCCTGGATCCAGCTCCGAGGACTTGGGAGCCCACACTGGCTCTCTAGCCTCCCCACCGTCCCCCCGCGGGGCTGACGCACACAAAATCTACTAGCCTGGGTCTTCCTAGGCTCTGGTGTGCGAGGGGAATGTGGGTTGTGTCTTTCTCCATCTCATTTGTGGGCCATGCCAATGAAGATTAGTTTGTTTATTGCGTCTTGTGTGCAGTCCTGGGCTGATTTTTTTTTTTTTTCTGAGAGTCAGCGGCCTCCAACCCCAAAATGGTTCCCCATCCTTGTCTTAGAAAATTACTGAGTCTGTAAAATTCAGTCTGAATTCTAAGGATATTAAGAGGTGAGTAATTCAACTAATTTGCGTAGTCGATACAATTTGTGCGCAGGCAGCCCAGCTCCTACTGTATTTAAACTGCAGAGCTGCAGCGGGGGTAGGTCCTGGGCTGGCGCTAGCTGGCACAGAGCCAGGAGCTGCCTGGCTCTTACTACATTTAAAATGCAGAGACGCAGTGGTCCTAGACTGGCTCAAGCAGAAGCTGTTTCGCAGCAGCCTCCTCCCTCTATTAGGAGCTGCAGAGTGGGGTAGGGAGAGCCGGCAGCACTGGGGAAATGGTGCTGGTGGGAACCAGCTTTTAAGCTGCCTCTCCCCAGCACTGGCTCCTGCCCCCTACCCCCTGCTGTTGCCTGTCATACAGGAGCAGCAAGGGGGAAGCAAGTAGTTGAGTACTCAACTATTCACTTGCTTCCCCACTGAATCTGCCATTGTTTTGTTCCTCTTACTGCAGTCAATAATGCCATGCAAAATATAATACTTAGCTGTTCTTTCAAACAACAGTGTCGTCGTGTCTGGCTGGAGCAGTGGTACCTCTGTTAGCAGGGCCGACTCCAGGCACCAGCAAAACAAGCAGGTGCTTGGGTCGGCACATTGCCGGGGCGGCATTTCGGCCAGTCTCACCACTGGAAGCGGTCCTGCCCAGGTGGAGCCTGCGGCCTGCAGGGAGAGCGTGTGCTCTTGCTGACCCACACGTCTGCCTGGGAAGCAGAGTCAGCGCCTCAGTGCTGGGCGCAAAGGGAACCCCTATTTCCCCCTCTAACTGCAGAAGCAGCCCCGGGCTCTCGCCCACCCACCCC